AAGGTGATTTTTATGCATTTCCCTTGAGAAAAAGTTGGAGATCTTTTTTTCCCTCACCTAATGGTATATATCAATTCAGACTTGAAGCACTACTCACAATAATAATGAAAGCAATTGAGCACTTTATGTATTTTCTTTGGCGATAACTAATATACGTCACATCCGTTTTATAGCATCTTTTACTCAGTCTGAAGGGGTCGGTTTAGTTATTTCTTCTCGGTTTAAAAAATGCCTCTTGAGCAATATTGACATTTATGAATGTCATTTGAGAACATTTTTCATTCAGAACCTGAGATAATCTTATTTGAAATCATTTTCTTTTTTAATAAAGTTTTACACGTTGTAATCTCAGGTCATTGGCATTCAAGAGTTTTTTGTTTTGATTTTTGAGAGTGTCTAACACGAACGCATGTTCATTTACCATTTTTACAACATTTTTTTTATATCCAATCTGTGGTCTAAAGTCAGCATTTCTCTTTCAGTGTTTACATTCCTTTCTTAAAACTTTGGATTTTAAAGTCAAAGATGAAAATTTTGATTTAATGCTTAATTAAAGAAAGAATTATTCTACATCAACTTGTAATTGTCATCTCCATGTTTTCTCTTCAAATTTTTTTTCTAAGGAAGTTCTAAAACCTTTTGATCACCAATCAAATGTGTTTTATAGCCTACAAATTAATTAATCTTATAAGTGGTATTGAATTGAACAAGTGACAAATTTCTGGTTTGTTAACATGAAAAAGACGAAGGTAACGAACAGTAATCAATCTAAAAAAATATGTATTGATCAGGTAGACAGAGTTTTAGTATAAAATCAAAGGCCAACAATTGGTATGAAACATGTCAGCCGAAATACGATCCAATGATAGGTTATATTTGTTAACAAGGTCATTATAACGACCATGGAATTTTCGAAAAGCTGACGTTAAACTTGTTGAAATCCCTGTAACATTAACTTATCTGTCAGTAACCTGCCTCGGTTTAAAAATTGATTGTATTCAGAGCATGCTCTTGAGTATCGCATAAGCTGGGAGACGTAATCACCATATGCAGGTGATAGCGGAATATTACTACATAGAAAGGAAAGTTGACGATGGAAAAGCTGATGTCATCTTGTTTGTTTAGTCTTAATTTTAGTTCTTAATTGGCCCTTTATCGTCTATAGTCAGTTAAACATCCAAATATAAAACAGTTAGATGTGGGAGGCTATGTGGTATCTTTTATTTCGAGTTCACTGATATGTATCGAGTCGACTTATGAATAGAAGTAACTATCTTTTTACAATGAGAACGCCTCTTGCCGAATCAAAATTGAGTGTTGACCACTCTTTTAATTTGGTATTCTTCACAAATAAAAATTACAACAACTGTGTGACCTCATAGGAAATCTTATGAAACTGTTATAAATAATCTCAATGATTTTGTTGTATTTTAAAGTAGAAGCAATCGGTACAGTAGTTCATTCTGGAGTTCTTTGTAGTCTCATATATGGAAAACTTTTGTCTCAAAAGAGGGATAACAAATTTGTGTTTCTCTATTGATTTTTCAATGAGGAGGAGGTTTGATCTCCACACTTTTCAATTACATATTTTGAAGACTCTTAAGTTCACTAACAGGGATGCTCAGCTGGAGATACGTGTTTTAATCGAAGGTGCAATTCCTTCTGAGAGAACATTTTCTTATGGTTTCAAGATTAATGGCAAATATTTATACACTGGAAACTTAGTATATATTGCCATACAAAAGATAAGAAATCATTCCTGTGTGTTTAGGAATAACAGAGTAATCTTTAATTCTTATTTCACAAATTACTGGTTTGTTGAAGACTGAGAGAAACTGACAGAATCTATAGCTAGCCTTTTTTCTAAATTCAACATTACATCACTTTTCTTTCAGTCATACTAGCAGCTTACACATATGTATGTACAGACAAGATAATACAAGAAACACAAAGCAACAACATGCATGTCTTTCAAAAAGAGAGAAAATGTATTGAAAAATTTTAAATAGTAATGTAATAGCTTAATTAAACAAATGTGCCTTGCATGTCTTCTTACTGGAAACTGGTTAAAAGTCCTCTGAACCAAAGTATACGTATCTCTGGTGTAGTGTGTTGCATATCTTCAATTCAATGTGGCGTTAACCTGAATGACAGAAAAAGAATCTTATGCCCCCCAATGTGTGTTATTGTATAGGCTATTTTCAGTTTCATCCCTCACCTTTAACATAGAAATTTATTTAAATAATTCAATTGTAATTTCAAGTATTTTCTACAACAACACAATGGCATATGATGTTTCATTTTTCAAAAGCGACAGATATCGAATTACGGTAATTAAACGAAATAATCACTCGTTGGTGTTTAAACTTGGTGTATAAGGAATATTTTCGTGATATTTCCCCACGTTAGGTATCAAATTCCGCCCTACCTATCTAACCTGTTCGGACCTGCCCCTAAGTCTTTAAAATCCCTACTCCATGGTCTCACGACAAAATTCTCGTAAAGGTGTGCTATGAAGCTTTTTATCAGTTCAGCTTATGTCATTTTATGACTTATGGCACATTTACTCTCCGTTTGCCTTTACCTTTCATTTTCGCTGTCTTTCAACGTCTCTGCATCCGCTGTTAGAAACTGAGTACAAGTAAAAAGCACCTTAGAAACTGTTTGTATCGTGATCTGTCTCATTTCAAGGTGGAAAAATCTTGTCATACGGGAAGGGGAGCTGTAGAAATACTAAAATAGTGTTCGAAAGTTTGGGGAAAGGTTGACATATTTTTGTACTGTCACCTAAGATATTTAATCTTCTACTGGAAGAGATTGACAAGTGTTCCCTTTATGTTTAAATGTCCGGGTAGGTTGTATTTAAGCACAAATTGAATTTGTTCTATGCATAATGAAGACATATCTAGATTTAAATAAAGCGCCTTCATTTCATATGTGTATTGGAGGTTTTATGACATAAAGAAATCACAAATTATTTTTGCAATGGATTGAAATATCCTTCTTCGGTGTCAAATAATTTGCATTTAATCCAAAGGAAAGTTTTATTTTATTTGTGTATGGGTTTTCATATGAAGTCTATTATGGGTGTTAGCATAACCATTACGGAAGCATCCATTCGGTTAATAGTATAAAACACATTTTAGCTTAATACCTCTTCTTATTTAAAGGCTGGGGTTTCTTTGTAAAATTTGCAATCAAAATCAGCGAAGCCGGAAATAGGATGCAATTTCGTACTGTAAGCATCAAATAAAGATTTTTTTAAAACAGATTTCATTTAGATTGGTTCCTGATGAAAGGGTCCCCTTATGTAGCCTTAAAGAGATTTTTATAATAGGGGATATCTATTCTAAAATTCTAAGCTTTCATTTTTAGGGTAAATTGTCAAATTGTTAATGACAACTTTCCCCTCTCCGCCACTGTATATTTATTATGGTCTTCCAGTAGGGCCGCTATCTTCGGTAGAAAACAGAAGATTCATCCCCCCCTGAAAAGTCAATAATTTGCGAATGAATCTAGATGCTGTCACAAGACAGTAATACCCACACATAGGTGTTTGCCTCGAAATGTACTCACCTTCATATTTAGCTAACAAGGGAAGAAGCCACATTAATTCTATAAATTACAAAAAGTCCATTTTTACCCCGAATCACCACAGGGTCAAAATCGGAATTCCTAATCCTAAATACACATTTAGAGGACTCTCCCAAACTTATTCAATATGACTGGGCTTCTGTGAAAAATGTAAGAGGAGTTCAAGAAACAAGTTTTTTGTTTGTTTTTTTTTTTTTTTTTTTTTTTTAAAAATCATTTCTAACGACCCACGGTGAATATCAAAATTCTGAAACCCTACTGCACACCCAAAAGACACTCACAATGATATTCCAAAATTTGATTTGGCTGCTGCAAAAAAATGTAAGAGGAGTTCAAGGGAACCAGGTCTTTGTAGAAAAAAAATTGTCCCCTTAGGTGAAAATCTAAATTCTGAAACATTGCACATTTACAGGACACTCCCAATTAAATTTTAAAATATGAATGGGCTACTGCGTAAAATGTAAGGGGAGTTCAGGGAACCAGATTTTTTTCTTCAGAAAAATGACTCTTTTGACCCCCAATCGCCCCAGGATGAAAATCGAAATTCTGAAACCTTATTGCACAACCACAAGACACTCCCAATGATATTCCAAAATATGAAAGGGCTAAAACGAAAAATGTAAGAGGAGTTCAGGGAACCAGGTTTTGTTAAAAGAAAAACCACGACGTTTTTCTGCCCCTGAAAATGAAAATTCCAAAACCTTATTGCACATGTACAGGGCACCAACAATCATATTTTAAAAATGTAAGAGGAGTTCAGGGAACCAGATTTTCGTAGAAAAACATTTTTTTTACCCCAATTCCACCCCCTCCCCCTGGGGGATGAAAATTTCAAATCTTCTTTCAAAGTATTAATGTTCAAGGCACCACCAGTCATATTTCATAAGATGAGATGGCTACTGCTTAAAATGTAACAGTAGTTTGAGGAAGAAGGTAGTCTGACAGTCGAACGGACAACCTGGAAAACAACATTTTTTTTCTTTTTCTTTTTTAGAAAGTGTGCATAATTACATCAGCTTGTAAAAATATCACTTATCGAAAATTAAATTCATTTAAATCTTGACTTGTAAAGAAGTCCATCGACGATTGAAAGTAAAAATAAAAAAGTCTTTAAAATTCTGTTTTCTTATTTGTCAATTTGGCTAGCGTTCAGGTGACATTATTCAAATTCTTCTTCAATGGGCTTTCTCTTTTCTTTATTCTTGGTAAGTTCAAATTATTCAAATGCATGCTTCAAATCTATGGTTTTCAATACCTTTCTTTGCGATTCAATACATATGATCTTCAAGATGCATATGTCTAGCTATGGCTCCTTTGCTAATCAATAAAAGCAATTGCCAAAAACATCGATCTAAATACAATATTAAACGGGTCTAGAGTGACTGAGAAAGTAGACGTTGTTTTGAAAGATTTCTGGATGTCTCCTTTCGTTTGGACCGACAAAAGCATTGGAAGGAATTGAGCGCCTCGATCTGTTTATTGAGCTGTCAGAAGGTGTTTGCTTGTCGTACTAATATGACATTAGGGAATGGTGTATCTCCACTTTGAGGTAGTTGCTATTGGCACTGTTTTTAAAGGGATTTAAATCTAAATTTGTCTTCGTGCACGGAAGAAGTTTTGCTAAAGGGAGGGTTTCTTGCTGTGTCTGTGACTGAAATCGACCCATCATGGCTTGGGTTTGGCCGGAGGAAGTTGGGTCAAAAAGTCGCCCTAAGTCCGCCACTAAAGCGACATGGCCCACTCCGGAAGAGAAGGTTAGATCGCCAATGAAGTCTGATAATGATGTTCAAAAGGTTGGTTCTTTGGTATTGTTAAAATATGTAAGCCACGCGAACAATTCGATTTTTTTTACATAGAGAAAGTTGAAAATGAAATTCAATTTCTAAGCAAGAGAATCTTATATAAAGATGAGATGTATAAAAGTATATATTACAGTTATATATACCGGATGAGAAAGCACGATTGGTGAGTTGTTTTTGCATGATAATGATCTTTGTAGCAGTGTTTTGCATGGGAATGTAGCTGTACATCAGTAGTAAAATTGGAAGGAATTTATTTGGAAAATACATTTGCCGCTGTTTAAGTTCTTTTAATAGTTTGTTTGGTTTTGGGTCTTGAATGTATACTTGTTCTTTTGCAACTATTGAAGCATATGTATTTCTTGGTGTATACAAGGTGAAATCTGAGCTCATCCCTTTGTACTCTACTTGTCAATTGTTTTATTGCAGGGCCATGTTTTGTCTTTATTTACTCCATTGTTTACATAATATATCTCTATTCTTTTCTTTTAAGACATTTTTTCAAATAGGAAATCTGTATTTAGACATTAACTCAGTAAGGAAATGACTATAAGCAATAAAGCCTTTGTATAAAACTTTTTTTTTAACTTTGTATAAAATAAGACCAAAGTTTTAAAAATTAAACCATTTTGTTCGTTACCATGCTATTGAAATCCGCATGTTTACAATGAATTTTTAAACCTTCACCTTTTGACATACCTCTTCTTTCAAGAGCACGTTCAACTTGTTTGCTTTGCTCTTGAGAGTCTAAATATTGTTCTTAAAATTAATACGATTTAACACTTTTTCCACAACAGGAACATACACTATATCATTAAGATTTAACCAGTATATCAACTGTGTTTGTTCTATTACTGCTAAAATTTTAAAATAAACTTTAAGTCTATAGTGTATCTAATAATATCTGAACATAACGGAGGGGTGAACTGTATAACTTTCATCTCGGTTGCTAAGATGACAACGTAATATCGATCAGACAAATAAGCTATTTGAACTTTTTTTGTTTCTGGTGCTAAAATTGAACATCGATAATTTGAGAACATTTGCTGCATTCTTGTTATAGGAACTGAAGAATGATTTCACTTCTATAACATTGCTCGTTACCATGACGACAATAAAGGACATATAAAAGGGGTAAAATTCAAAGAATCAAACGCCTTGAACAGGGAAGGCATCTGAAATTTAAATTCTATAAAAAGGAAGCCCTATCTCTTCAATCATGAATCTTTTTCCTTTGGAATAAATAAAATAAGCAAATGTATTCACCATAAGTTCCATATCAATTGATCTGAATACGTCTCTTTTTCCTGTATGCAATAAATAATCACTTTAGCTTACTGAAGATTGCAATAGAGGGATGTCAAATCGTGAATCGTCATTATGATTTCATTTTCAATACAGATTATATAAGCCAAAGAATTGGAATAAAATGCATCGTCATACAGTACCACAGAAGTCAAAGATGCCCCTTTTGATCTGATGTCTGTCAATAGATGGCGCTAATTCACATTAACGTCATTATGTACCACATTTCTTTTGGATGATTAGCACAAAAATGGCCAATATCGTTTTACTTATCATTGAAAGACGTAATTCTTTAAGATGGGTTTCTAGGGAATGGGCTCATTTTAAAATGACGTATTACTTTGGTACAAGGTTGAATGTACCTTGTACCAAAGTAAAACGTTATGGTAGAGGAAAAATCAGTGTCGGTGACAACAAATCAATTCTTTAATCAAAAGTTGTCATTTCGACAGCACCGATACTAGTAATTTTGCTGTCTTTGTGCAAGTTGGAACATTTCATTTAAATATATGTCACTTTAAATAATACAAATCGCGGATAATTTTGATATATGATACATCCTCTTTGACATACACAAGAAGCAAAACTTCTATAAATAAGATTCAATTAGACTGCACTAATAGAGGGTTTTTAATTTAATAACTATTTTCCTACATATTTACGACAAGTGTTTGCTATCTCGAATTTGATCTATTTAAGTGTGCGAAACAACGTTGTTATCGATTTGAACTGTTAGGAAATTTAAACCACTTTTACATTGTAAAAAAACACAAATACCAATGTTTCGGTGCTCATAGATCAATGGCATTCAATAATGAGTGGGCCTAACGGTTGAGTTCGAAAACCTTTCACCAATTGCAATATTCGCAAAAGCATTCATGGAAAGTAATGTACAGCACATTGAAGTCAACCTTAAAATTTGACATTACTTAATTTTGTTATTCTCAGTATCGGACAGGGTTGCCATGGAGAGAATACCATTAAAAATAAATTAACATCATGACAGATGCTTGATTTATTTTGAGTTAATAACACTATAACTAAAAGGCCACAAATCTAGCCAAACATGGTGTATAATTGTAATGTAATAGATCGTTGATCGTTTAGCTTTTGAATTCAAATAAAAACAGTTTTGACAAGTAAAGTATCTTTGTCATTTTAAACTCAGTAAAGGAGAGTGTTTAATGATGACCTAGGCGTAGTTAAGAATTTCTTTTATCAATTATTACTTTAACCTATTGTATATCAGTTTAACCTCATTCAACTTTGGTGTCATGATTAAAGGTCAGGAAGGGAAAAAACTTTTATTGAACGGCACTTTGTTTGAAAATGTTTCATCTTATCGACTACATGCTGGTTTTTATGTACAATTATCTATTCATAACTTGTGCATTCATGAAATTAAAAATATGTTGATTATAGCTTTCATATTAAACCGATATGAAACTTCTATTAAAATCTGATTTTGTATGGTTAGTTACTTTATTTCATAGTTCATGATCCTGTTTTAATCTCCAAGAATGCTGATGTTAATTTGTTTCAGCGTGCCTTTTTTTAACACTTCCTGCGTGAATTTTTATATCCGGATTGTAGATTAGAGTAATAATCATTTCCCGCGGACTGTTGCTATCTATATTCTGTATTCTCTAATTAATATATATCTCTTCTATTTTTTCCCAGAGTGAGCGTCAGGAATATGACTTCATGCACTCGAACAACATAACGACGCTCACGGCGCCTTTTGGTACGAATGACACTCCGAATATATCCTACAAAATTATTGGCAGTAAACCTGTTCATGTTATAGAAAGCTTGAAGCCACAAAGGTGTGTATTACCATTAATCCATAATGAAAATTGTCCTTCCAAATGTATTATTTATTAAAAGACACATGCACCAAAGTGCATTAAAATATTCTAAGGTGGATTTATCAAATCACCTCGCATTAAATTTAGAGACCAAAAGTTAAATGGAACACAACCATGAATGAAATCGTTTAAAGCATAATGTTAGCTTTTGATTTCCCTTGACCACTATTTATGTTTAAGTAGGTATTAGCCTTATTTTAAAGTCAGCATTGCAGAAAGGTTGAAAAAAAATCTTTAATACCTTAATTACACTCATTCCATTCTTCTACAAATCGTTCAACTTCTTGGCAACTGGAACTTTGTTGACAGTCGCCATATTTGTTTCTGGATAGAAATTTCCTTTAAATAATACACATTTCTGTAATTAATATTCAAGGCCAGAAGATCCAACAATTTATACAGGGCCACGGATTCATAATTTAGACGGAGTTACAATCAAACCAAACCAGGTTAACCCGAGGATTTTAAACGAAAAAGCCAAAGGATATTACAGTGCACAACAGGTATAGGAAAGATATTTCAGAAAATTTAGGAGACACTGTTTCATTGCTTAGGACAATTATATAAAAAGCTTTAGTATGAATGCATTTTGTCCTATACTAGCATGAAACCTGTGTCCGTGAAGAAACTGATATGTAATGTTTTCAAATGAATGTTCATTGTCAGACATTGTTGAATTAACACATTTATACATGCTTCTGACATTATTAACTTTTTTGTTGTTTTAAATGTTATACAATCGTTCAGAAAATCTCCTGCCTGTTATTTCTTGCTTTGTAAATCATTTCTTGTTCACCTCGCCATTTCTTCTCAGCATGACGGTAGCAATGATGAGGTAGGGTATACCCATATATCCACATGCATTATTATATTATTTGCACTCATTACTGCTTGGGCGTGATAATTTAGATACTGATTCTCAGGGAATCATGCCTATTGGATGATGACAAATTGAGTGAAAAATAGCAGGGTTTCATGATACTTTTCTGTTATGGGTGGTCAATTGCATATGTCACCTAGCTTGTAAATATTTGATAATACGATCAATAGTATTAAAGTTACCGATATGTTTAGTCATTAATCAACAAATAGCTTCTTCCAAGGCAACTGGTTTCCTGATAGGAATGTTTATAAAAGGATTCCAATCGTTAACAATACTTTTTCAAATTCTCAATAGACAAGATCTTTATCAGTGGTAGAAAAGGAAGGCATTTAAAACTAACGAAAAAAATAATCAATTCTAACCTTGGTATCTAATGGCTACTACCATTTCCTACTGATTTTCAATATGTTCCTTCATAATTTTCTTGTCTTTCATTTCTCAAGATTTGATAACGGTACCTCAGTCATGAAATCATAGCATTAGTAAAGTACATCTTTGATAGATACATGTACACTGTATGTAGCTGTGAAATCAAAATTCATTTTTGCTGAAAAGTTTTCCGAATAAATGCTAACACAGCAAGTTGGGTTTGATTGCTTTTTACATAATAATATAATCAAAACTGGGAGCAAGATGGTGTGTTGACGGTTATATGTGTTTTAGAATTACACTGGGCTTCCTAAGTTAGTGACATTGGTGAGTACATTTTAGTAGACTTCACTGCTTTCTTTGTGTAGTTTCACCAAGTTTGTTAATCATTCAAGTAATCTTTTCAGATTTTTTTTTTTTAACATAAAGTAATTTTCTCTATTAATTTTCACAGTTTCCCTTATTTCACCAAAGTGTAAAGAAAACATTTTATTTTTAATCAGATCCATATTCGCAACGCATGTTGAGATTTCATTTGTATTGGTTTGCATTTGTGATGATTTGATATACTTCCATGTTTTGCATCTACATCTGCTATGACCCAATTGACTTTGCAGTTGAATTTCTTTTTCCTATTATATAATGATTTTTTTTAAAGTGACATTGCGTCAACGCTTTTGGTCTTTAAAAAAGCAATCTAGTAATACCTATGTAATATGATTTTTTTTCTCTATTTTCTTATTTACCGTTGCATTTTGCACGATTCATTTCAATTCTTGCAATGAAAAGTTTGATAACCTTTACATCAAACAATTTTATAGCGTTTAAGAGTAAATTTCAACTCGTGTTTCACTGAAGGGATGCTATATTTTTTATACCATTTTTTTCCTTGCAGGACCAATTCTCGTCCCACGTACATGGGAAACCTACATATTCAAATCCAGTCACATACAGAGGTCAGAGGCCAGATTCTAAAACACTAAATCCTTTTCCCAACCTACCTCCAATAGAGGCCAATCGCGGCAAAAATCAGAAATCCACCGTATTTGAAAAAGAGGCTTGGATACCATCGAATGGTCTGGAACCAAAACTATCCACAGATACTGAGTATAAAGAACATTTTGAAACAGGAAGACCGAGCAGTGAACGATATCAACCAACTTATCAAAATAACAATTTTGACCGTGTGATTCAGAACAGTCCTAGAAAATCGTACAGCGAGGTAGGAGGTCCAACGATGGAGAGATCATTTAAAGACTCTATGTTACAAATGTTACCACCAGAACCATTTCTACCCTCTGATCCCATGAAATATACGAACGAACAACGTCAGAGGCTGCTAGATATGGCCGCAGAGGAGATGAGAGGAGTCACCACTGACAGACTAAAGGGAGCCTACCACCTCTTGTCCAGAATTGACAGACAGCTGAATGGACTGTGTCAGTTTGAAAACGTGAAAGACATTTTGAAGCAGGAAAGGGTAAGTGAATGCTTTCATCCATGCTGGATAAAAAAAATCTTGAAAATGTGTTCCTTTATGTTTTATATAAATAAAGATTTGTTTAACGCTTTGTATTGCATACAAAACTTTCTTAATCAATTAAGGATTCATAAAATCAATAATATGAAGCTTCTTTTGCTGAGCATACTTGTAAATTTTAATTATTAAGAACATTTTTCAGTGTTTGGTTTTGTATAAACTAATATTTTATATGTACATCGAAATGTTTACTAAAAATTTCATTATTTTTTAATTCATTAATAATAGTTCAGATCCTTTATCTTTTGGAATTTTCTCTAGCAATCTTGTTTTGTTCATCATAACATATCAAATACATATATATATTTAACATACTAGGCGTACATTTTTGAAAAAAAATTCTTAGTTCTTGAACTTTTTGATTGGTTTTGAGGATCATGAATAACACTTTTTTTGTTTGAAGGCTGACCCAACTCAAGATACATTGAGACTTATAGCCGCTATGTGTGTGGTTCCAAAAGTGCAGAATATGGTTAACTATGAAGACATTATAACATTTTTAAATGATGCCGTCCGACTTACACAGAATGGGTAAGTTATTTTTCATAAGTCTTCCAAATCTGTACCACAGTTTGACTGAGATAGATTAATATAATAGGCCTTTGGAGCTAGCATTGATGTAAAAATTGATTAGCCGGGAATATGACTTGTTTTATATAGACAGTTTAATACTTGCGTTGTATCATTGGAGCTTTACCCCCTAAGCAGATTGACGGGTAGCAATTTTTACCCGAAAAGCAAAGACCTTTGCAGTATACGTTCAAAAAAGAAGAGTTAATGTCTTTAAGATCATGGTGGTATAATATGTTATTGTGTAATTGACATATCGATCTGGAGTGTAATGTTTGTATTTTGATCAATAGATAACGTTAATTGAGGGATACCTTCAAGTTTTTACACAATCCTTTTTCATAACCTTGTAAATGTACTTGTAAATTGAAAATATATAATTTCTTCTTTCTTGAAAACATGTTACATTGATACGATTTTCTGCTAAAACCAATCTGTCATGAAGCTAGTAATTATAGCAGCCTGTCTTTTTCGATCTTTTGATTGCACAGTCGCGAGCTTTAAATGAACGACAGGTGAAATCTAATCGTTTTTAAATGTTCGAAATAACGAAGCATAATTGTTGGCATAAATCCCAATCTCTCTTGTTTGGATTTTTTTTAACTTTTGCATATTGTAATTGCAGAGATACCCTTCTGTGTTAACGTTTGCTTACAGATTAACTGTTGCTATCTGTTCTGTATACATGTATATGTTTGTTTGTTGTTTGGACGAATTTTCGTCAACAAAAGACTATAAATCTAAGTACTTTTTTCCAAATATGCACAAAAACTGTCAATATGTCAGTGAAAATAAAAACACAGGAATCCCCCGAGTTGACAAAAATTCGTTCTTACCAATACTCACATCTTAGTAACTCTGAGTAATGTATGTTAAGTAACATGGCGCTTACTGGCTTTATATGGTTGTAGCCCGTCCGACTCTAGTCGTCATCAGTATTACATGGGCCAGCAAGGAGGGTCCTCGTAAGTTCATACATGTAGCTTCTTACACTCCTGTGACTTTTCTGCATGCCCTATGTTTTTCCTCCTTAGCATTTTCTCTCTGTTCGTCATTTTGAAAGCAGTATAACAAACTGATAAAAATAATCACACTACATATCAACCATGATAAAGTCCTTTTGGAAACAACGTTTAATTTATATATCAAAATGAATGAATGTGCAAGAGAGATTTATCTTAATTGGTTGACATGGTTGTGAAGATTTTTTTTATCTAATCAGAAGAGTTTTAAAGGAACTCCGAGAAGAATTAAGGCTTACGAATATACTGTCTTGAAAATGATTTGGAAATTGCAAGTTCTAATGAACTTCCTTACTTTCTTTATGCATACATCAGCACTCTTTCCAAGGTTTGAACAACTTCAAATTTCACGAGGGTGTCTTGAATGACTATCAGTGAACTGATATAGTTAAAAAAAAAAAGCAAATGTTTGCCTATCCATCTTCAGATCTCTCTCCATTTAACAATCATTTCAATCACAGTAACGTTTTAAAGTGTTAGAAATGACTGGTGTTGGATATTATATAAAGTGTTCATAACTGCACTCTTTGGTGTGGGACGTGTGTTCAGGCAGAAAATTAGCTTGTTACACTTATAATAATGTTCATATTCCATCGTGTTGAAACTAACTATTGCTGATATTCCATTTATGCTTTGATCATTTTTAAAACAATGCATTACGTCATCTAGCAAAAATTCATTTCCAGTTAAATTACATTTTAAATTTCATTCAACATGTCCACGGTAGTGAAAAACTCAATTTAAAAAATAAATAGTTTGAATCAACTGTTAGGGTTCATTTTATTTCTTAGTTTTATATTTAACTTTTTTAATTCTATGTTTTCTTACAGAGTCAAAACAAACATATCGATCCCCAGAGAGAAAGAAACAGCAATGCTTCTTCAAAAAACAGCTCAGCAGTTGGGAACTAGTAAAATCGACATAGAAACTTTAATCAGAACTTTTCAACTTTACGACCACGAGCGCACAGAAATGCTCTCTGCTCTTGAGGTATATGTTATATTGGTCAACATCTATTGCATTTTCTCTATCCCCTTTTCTTACAGCCGTGTGGAGATAGTGTGGCCCCATTTTTACGGACAAGAACATTTTTAGCACTCAGCCCGTCTATCTGTCCTTTATCTTGCCAGATACAATGGATTAGTGGGATTTTAATATTTATGTCTAAATCCAGTGGAATGAAAGGTCTTACTAGCCACTAGTAATATTGTTGGAAAAGATTTTCATAATTTTTGGTATAAACATAATCAACTATTGTCTTTTCAGATTAAGAACGTGTTATTCGACAATAAAATTCAACTGACTGAATCACTAATCGACGATATCTTGGCGAAGATGACAGATGCAAACCGGGACGGCAAATACAAGTAAGAAAATGTCTTTACCTGTATGATTTACAAGGAAAGTCAAGAATTGTAGATTAGACGATTTCACAAAGATCCAATACTTCTAAAGCAGAACAACTAGTATTCACATTTATATGATTGAAAACAAAGAATAATAATGCATGACATGTGTAGGTATAGTTGCAATAAATGGTTGTTCTAAATTTCAGTTGGCGACGGTTTGTGGACTTTCTTGAGCGCGTACAGCCTGCCAGAACAGGACTGGAAATCACTTATAACAAACGACCCCTTGAATACGCAAAACAGTACCCCCAGCCTGTTGAGTCCTGGCCCCGGGCGAGGGAATCTCCTCGATATTCTTCACCTCCTCCTGTTAATAATTATGGACCGGTTGGTAGTTTTTTGAAAGCAAAGGGATTGAAGGGTTGCAAATGTTTGTAAATATTACTGAGCACGTAAATTTTAAACTGCATGTTTTGTTAAAGGATTTTTATTTATATTCATTAATTCTAAAGCCGTAAATACGAGTCAACATTCATTGATTTTATAGAAATGTCTGATATTTGCACCTTTTGAAATTGTTGGAATCAAGGGGAATGATTTTATTTCGTGGCGTAGAATTAGATGCACTAAGAGACAAAGTGATAATAGGAAGATAATAACGTTTTGAACGTTCAGAAGATATTGTTTTGCAGATATCTGTAAACAAAAATCGGGTTAAGGACTCAGATTCAATTTTAGTGGATGATTTTAATGCAGATATCAATTATATTTGAAAATTCTACAGAGATCACCATTATCCCCAAGAAAGAACATGAGTTACTCGAACAGTCCTCGGTTCGGAGGTCCATCGGGCCCCAGCAATGATATCTGGCGAAAAATCCAGGATATCGAGGATGAAATAAAAAATTTAGAGCAAAATAATCAGGTACATAATCATCATGTCATCACAATTTTCATAGATTGTTAATTTGTACATCCCTATATATTATGTCTCCACAGCCCAATACAAATCGCCAATCTCAGAAGGATATCTCTCATCGCATTGCTACTGTCCAGGATGAAATCAATGAGTTAGAATTCAGCAATAAGGTAGTCCTAACCGAGGCTAGCCCTAGATCTGTACACTGTATACCCTGCTCCTTTTACAGTTTATCAGTAGATTGATTTCAGAAACACCCTATACTTTGACCCTAGGAAACATCTGGAAATCTTGACAAACTAAGAAAATACAAAGGGTCTTGGAAAGAGAGAGAGAGCAGTTTTAATACCCTTTCCTGCAGTGAATATCATGACAATTGTATGTTCACTGAAAGGAAGAGGATTTAAGTTCTCGACTTTCATTTTTGGGATAGCCCTTTGTATTTTCTTACAAGTGTTTGTCTAGTGTGCGCACCGTTTCTTAAGGTCAAGGTATATGGTTTCAGAAATCATCCTATAACCTGTCCTTGTTTTATCACTTGTCTCCATTGCTAAGTGTTCTTTTTCTGCACATGTGTTTGGATTTTGAGGCACGTTTTCTGGAGGTCTGTTTTTGTGTTTATTCTGTCTTGAATTCTTCTCCCATTTATGAAGGGTAACGGATTGATGTTATATTGCAAGTTGAAATCGCAGAAGAAAAACTTTCAGGTGTAATGTTAAGGATCATCTCGTTTATCATGCTTTTATTCTTTGATATGTTTCATGTCTAGTGCTATTATTGTGCTAATATTTGTTAAATGTTAAACAAGACTGCAAATGCTCTTTACTTCAGATTTGAAAAATTCTTTATCTAATAAGAAATAATTTTTCTGAAGTAACTTTGTTCATGATCCTTCCATCTCCATCTTATTTCTGTTTTATTAACAAGTATCTGAAATCCGTCTCAACGAAATAGATAGTAGACTTTCTTAATGCTTTAAAAAATAAAATGGAATATTTGTTCAATGATTCTAATATAATCTCAAAGAGGATAACTTTTTATCTAAATTTTAATGTTCAATTAATTTGACTCATATCGATGTTTATATATATATTTTCCCCTGTGACTGGTTGCAGTTTTTGCGACAAGGCATCGAGTCAAATGCCAGGGGTGATTCCTGGGAGGCAAAACTCATCCAGTTGGCAGGACAGCTGTACCGCCTTAACGAGACACGCTATAGATCCAGTGGTAAGGGGAAAATTAATTGAAACATGAAGCAAAGATTATATATTTATTGAATTGCCTTCATGGTTATTCAAACGTGTTTGCAATTTATTATTTACAAGATGTTTCGTTGTTATATTTTGATGTGATGTTTAAAACTTAACCAAATTTAAGTCTCCAATGGATGAAAATTTACAAGGAATAGATGAGATGAATTTAATTAGAGATATGATGAAGGGGTTCAAAGTTAGTAATGTAAAAGAATTGTTTTTTTTAATGTCTGCTGCAGTTACCTCTTGTTTAGATTTGTACAGTCATTAATAATATAATCATTCCAAATAGGAGTTCTGCCGTTTGAGACAATTGTGGACCAAACGACGAAGTACAATGAAAACGCCAGAATGGGATTACCATATGACGTCATATATCGACTTGCTCAAAGACATAGCAACGATCGTAACCAAGTAGATATTGATAGATACCTGAACGACTTAGGAGATGATAGAACATGGTACATGAAATAACCTTCGGAATTGTAGATTGTCAGTGCTGCCAAACAACATAGAATGTCTCTATCATTATGTCATTTCTGATGTCATCATTTCATGTTCACTTTCCAAAAACAGAAATTTTTTATAACGATCACAGTATTCCAGGATGTATATCAACAAATTTACAAAGATTTTTGAGATTTTGGAATTGATATACTGACATATGGAATTGGGAATAGTTTTCAGTGCATATTACTCTGTTAATTGAAACTGAAATATTTGGTCAAAGCTATGAATTAGAATTAATCGTAAAGTATATTCTATATTAAACATATTCAAAGTACGATCTATGTCTCCCTTAAAGGCTAGTGAATTGCACAAAAGAAATTCAAAGTTGTATAACAGTTTACTCATGGAATGGAACACAAATTTCACTTTTCTCCGATAGACTTCCTTGATCAATATTCGATAGACGTCCATGTTATAGTCTGTGATATTTTGTCTCATTTGATTCTGTCTGTTTTAGATTAGAATTTTAAGAAGGTATATTCTATTCATTTTTCGCCAAGGAGCTTTAGATTTTAAAGGAATATGAAATATGCGGACGTTGCTGTACAAGAATATGTGAGAAAAATATTAGTTCAATATTTTAAAGCTATTAATTCGGACAGCGTGAAAAGGGGATGTTGTTGGAAGGTAAAGAAAAAAGGTGTGTGATAACCATGAATGTGATTTCCACATACAACTAAAGCACAATCATAAATGGTTTATATATTCAAAGCTGTTATTCCACGTCTTGTACAGTAGTTCAAAGTTCTGTGATATTTTGGATATATTTATATTTTCATTAATTATATTTATTGAATAAAGGTTAGATTTTATATCAGTCTTAATATTGTTTATTTATGTGATTGTCTTATTGAATAGGAGAGTGGAAACATGCATAAAAATATATTTAATTTTATTGATTAAAAGGTGGAGATACGAGCAGTGACCGATTTCATAAATCTAATAAAGAAAAAGAATCGTGAATAGGGCAAAAACACGGACCCCTGGAAACACCAGAGGTGGGATCAGGTGCCTAGGAGGAGTAAGCATCCTCTGTCGACTGTTCATTTGATCTTGTATTGATCAGGTAGACGATGTAATCTTAGTAAAATTTGGAATAAAATAACTTAACAAATTGTATGAAACATGTCAGACAAAATACGACCCAACGATAGGTTGTTACAAACAAGGTCATTATAATGACCGTAACATTTTCTAGATACTGAGACAAGGTTGTTGATTTCCTTGTAACATCAACTTATTTGTCTGTAGTTTGCCTTGGTTTAAAATGATCGTATTCAGAGAATGCTCTTGCGTATCGAACCATATATATCGAGTCAAAATATGGATGAAAGCAATTGTTAAAATTAATTGATAAACGTCTAAATGTTAAGTTGAAGGCCACAGCAAGAGTTTACTTCTTCTCGTGAAAAAGTTTATGAATAAATCCTGCTTCATAGGAATAAAAATACAGGTCTGTCATAAAGGAGCACAATTAGAACCAATAGAAATTCCAACAGATTGTTGATAGACTTGGACTCCAAAGACTACATAGATATTGTCAATGAGGAACTCCAGCATCTTTTTAACATCAACTTCAGAGTACTTGTATGTAAAATCAGAATGAATTTTAACACATTTTGTAGATGACCAATCACACGATATAAAAATTTCCGAGTTCCATTCTTTTAAGTCATCGATTTGAACTATACTTACATCACCAGTTATGATGTGTCCAGCTGGAATATCTAGTTGAAAGAGACGAAGAATAAGAACACATAAAAGGAATTTGTTTTAGATATTCAATATCTACGCTCTGTAGAGTTTGTTTATAATTTAAGATTTTAGATGCAACGTTTGGGGAATATCTGTAGGAAATACAAGGTAAAGATCAACTTAAAATATGGTGGAACAAGACTGGACTTTAAATTTCATCTTCCGTAACACATGGCGTTTTAAAGAGACTGTGTTGGGCATAATCCATAATTACATGAGTAGTACATAATATTCCAGTACCTTCGTTTATTTTGTGTACTGTATAGTGACACTGAGCAATTCCTTTGAAAGTGTTTTTCGAATATTTTTTGCAAATTATTTTGTAAGGGTTCTGCATATAATGCTTACAAGGTAGCGCGTCTTGAGTATCGATCTGTCAGGTTAGACGAAAACTAGCTATCGTCAGATACCAACGGATGGTTTTGTCTTTTACTCATCACATGAGAGAGATCAACCGTGGGTGTTCGACGAAGATTCGTCTTTTACTCATGAGAGGGAATCCAAGGAAAACATAGCTACAACAAACGATTTTACACATCAGATCTGAAAACCTCTTGATAGTTATATTCACATTAGTATTCTCACTGGGTTTTCATCAGTATTAATAATGTAATACAACTGATACTTAAACGTCCTCAAAATAGTATGATAGATAAACAATTCATGGACTAATTTTGTTTCAACTGCGCTTGTCAATCTTTTAGTATATGGCAGAAACAGTCTACAAGAAAAGGACATTTATGCCTTGAACAAATGAAAAACATCATGCGTGTGTTTTCTTGCATAAAGAATAAAAGGAAATACCAATTATAAATAATTCAGGGTTAAATGTATTGTCTAATTTTTGTTGAAAATATACAGCAAAAACGAAATAATACCATCCCTTTTATTCGCTCATATTGCATATTTCAATAAAATTTATAACAATATATGTCATTGTTTTTCTTTATTTTTTTATTTGTATAAATATTGAAATCTAAGGACAGGGTTTTAAAAGAGGGTCTTATTTACAAATCCTTGCGTGGTAAATGATATAATGCATTTCTATTTTGTTGATACCTCTAGGTGTAACAAAAACACATCTCTTTATCTTGTTTCTGGCATTGACTATTTATCCATATTAGCATTGCACTGTGAATCAGACAATTTGTGTATGTATTATAGAAAGACCAATTCCTGTTAAAGGTTAAAGGGAGGTAAGTGGCACAAAAACTACTGAACTTAATTCGAGCTTCTTAATCAAAGTGACCATATGCTTAAACGGATGCCTAGCATGTTTAATTTAATCACACACACAATCTAGAAATTTGCTTCCTATTTCCTAATTTTGGTTCATGGATAGGACTTTCAATGGGATATTTTTAGGGTACCAAGTTTGTGTATATAACGGTATCAATTATCGTTTAACGATGCCTTCGGGTGCAAGATTGAATGCATACGTGTATCTTAATTATCAAAATCCGTACTGAAACAGCAACAGCAAACAATATGCTGTTTAAGGACAAAAGGAAAATGTTGGAACAATGTAATACATTAGAGTTTTGAATATAATAATTAGACCTTAATATCGATTTTTTCTTGGGCATCCTTTCGATTCTCAATAAATTTCAACCGTCGAAAATAACTTTTTTCTTACTTTGATTGTCCTATAAGTGCTGACATATATGGGATTGAGCCAGAATCAACAGAAATAGTATCCTCTGGAATTCATTTGAATTTTTACATTGTAGAGATAAAAAAAATTATAGAATTCAAACTGAGGCTGAGGGTATCAGTCACCTCTGGAAAAACACTACAAAACATGGAAACATACATTAAGATATTAAAACATCAATCTTTACAGTAGATCATTAGGAGAAATTGTCCTGCAATTCACATAAACTTGTGCTTAATATGTGTTTCAAATTCATTGATCATGTATTCCAATTTATCTGCTATGTTTACGTAATAAATGATATTTTTTTTTTTTTAGAAATAAAGATCTTTTCCAGTATATGTGATATAATTATAAATAGTTATAATTAAAGAAAATGAAGCAAGAGATCAAAAAGTTTTTTGAAAAGTACAGAAAATCCAACCGTTTTTGAAATAGATATTTTCGTCCCGTTTTATTTTCGCCCCATTTGCCCTTGTTGCAAGTGGGGGAATTTAAAACGGGGCGAATTCAAAGACAGCAACTTCTCTTAAAAACTACTCTTCGGGCAAGTTTAAAACGGGGCAAAATTGTTTGCAAGTGTGAAAGGGCGAAAATAATCCTGTATACAGTAAACGTTTTTGCATCTTCGATGAATTTTTAAAATTTGAAATATAACCGGTAGAAATCAAATATCGAAAGAACATTATTGTATCAAGGAAAGGCAAGTATAACTAGTACTTTAATTAGATGTCTGGTCAATATTTAATATCCGTTTTTGTTAGAAAGGGTAATGTAAACATTGTTTTGCACAAGTTTAATTACGCATAAACATGATAAACTCATTAATATTTTTATTAAGAAGCCTTGGCGATATGGTCTCGGATCTAAAATATTTATTATACTAAAGCAAAAATGCAGAACATTCACAGAAGAACTGAAATATTATTTTTATTATATGAACCTAATATAAACGAGCATTGTTGTCTTTCGGAGACGTACAAAAGACTTTTAAAAAAATACCAGTATTTTATTTTAATAGTACTTATAAGCGAAAATTTCTAACTGTAATAAAATTCAAATCATTTAATGTGACTAATGATTGACAGCAGTAGGGTCGAATGATGTTTCTTGTGTATATCTCAGCTGGTGATAATATCCACAGATTTATGTTTCCAAGCCTCATTAACTTCAACTTAACTACCATGAATAATTGATGCACATTACTTACTGCTGTTTTGTAACAATTACTGTTGTCATTCGTGCTTTAAAAGCCAAATAAAAATGATTGTTACATTAAGAGCCAGTCTCTGCGAAGATTTGCACTTTATGGTTTGAACATATTTAATTATAATGTCTAATTACAAAGGGATTGGGCACAATTTCTAAAAACTTATTATTACGCCCTCTCCCTACATGTAAATTACAAAGATTAAATTAGGTCACAGTTAAATAAGTACATTCAAAATATTCAATATTTGTGAAATTTTCAAATCAATGCATTTTAAAGAATCATACATATAATTTTGTATATATACATGTATATATAAATGAATATATTTACATGTATATTAACTAACTAATACTAACATGTGAATCTGCCAGAATGTTTAATAAAAGTTTGAACAATAGAGAAATTCTCCGCAGCACCCAATGAATCTATCCCCCATAATAAGACATGTGTATCTAAATGTAAATTTTATCAAATAATAAAAATTTATCAAGAAATTCCTTTCTGGCTTCTTTATACTTTGGACATATAATACAATAATGATACGTATCTTCTTTTTTGCCACATGAGCATAAAGGACTTGAGATTGATTTGCATCTGTAAAGGGCAATATTCAATGCACAATAATGTCGAAGTCTGGTCTGGAGAACATTCAGTCGCCTGTTACCATATTCAAAATATGATGGTGGGGCAGATTTTTGAATACTTATTTTAGTTTTAAAATTTGACATCAATTGTAAGTTTCTATTTTCAAGTGGTAATGAGTTCCGTTCATTAACTACAGTAGGAATAAACGATGAGTTTTATGTTTGTAATATACATTTTGGAATATCATAATTTTCAGAATTTCTAGTAGAATAGCTAATATGCGACGTTATGTAATTTGAGTGTCATGAATTATCACAAACTTCGTAAGAAATAAATTTAGGAAATCTTGGATGTCCTGGATTAATGGTTTCTATGGCAATGGGACTCAAAGTTTAAAAAATGCAAATTCTTGAGAATTTTGAAATTAAAAAATGCGCATTCTTACTGCAAAGTAGATCTATAATAATTTCTGAAATATGATATTTAAGACTTCATGTTTCATATTTACCAAAAACGTCCACGGGAAATAGCCAGATTGCAAAGAAAATTCCTATTTTAACATGGTGGATTTTCATAAGATATTTTTTTATATTTACAGAAGACAGTCCATAAAAATGATAACAAACTTACTTTAATGCGTATTGAAGGTTAAATAATTACAATTCCATCGTTGCTATGAAAATGGGACCATTAAAAGTATAAGCTTTTAGTCCTAATAAGTGGATAATGTCAACAAATGAAACATAAGTTATGAGTACATATCTGTACGTACTGAACGAGAGTAAAATACTTAGAAAAGGGTACGAATATACATGTACAGGTATACATGTATACGTTGTTATAAAATTGGGGGGAAATCTGTCATCTTAGGTTTTTTTCCTTTTAAGAAAGAATCGCCATATTTTAGAATGGCTGTTTATAAATCGGTAAAATGGTTGTCAATTCCACCTAAATAAGTGTCACTCTAAATGCATGGAGGAATGACAATAAATACTCAAATGTCTTCTTTGTTAATTTTTTTTTTACTGCTTAATAGCCATGAAAACCAAAAAAGCATTCCCAATGACAATCAGTCCTATATTCAATTTTATGATATGAAATATAAGGAGATAACGAACAGTAACCAAGCTCGTGAGTCCATTCAAACAATACAAATCAGGAGCAGAGCAAACACGCGGTACGGACCTCTAAAACATCAGAGGTGGGATCAGGTGCCATGACGGAGTGAGCATTCCTTGCCGACCGATCACATCCGTCGTGTGCTCCTTGTCGTGATCGGGAAAAAACGGAAAAGTAAAATCTGATAATTGGACATGCATTATGTATAATTTGTGTACGATTTAAATTATGATCGTAGATGAAATGATATGAGGTATCTTATAGCAAAGGTGCATGATTCTTCTGAATTAATGATATATAATCTCGATCCATGGTAATAGCAGTAGAAATTTTTTTTCAAACATCCTTCTAACTTTAATGTTAGACAACTTATATGTCTAATTATATCTTTGCGTTTCTTAGAATTTGGTAGGTATTTCATTCTTTTCAATACAAAAATCGTGGCGTAAAGCTATGTGGTCATACCAACCAATATACCAGTAGGTAATTTACATGTATTGTGTTTATCCCCCTCCAAGATGTTAAAGTGTTTTATGTCTTTTGATATATATACCCTCCCAAATAATTGCATGAGACGAAAAAAATATAATATATTTAAATAATTACTTAATTTCAAGATTTCGCTTAAATATATAACCATAGTTACCTAATTTTTTCCCATTATCTTGAGTAATATGACCTATCATTCCTACATATTAAGTGGTCATTTACAGTCTGTGTCCTGCACAAAGCCACAATGCGGATTTAAAATAGCTAAAACTGAACATTTTTTGTTAAATTTTTGGCACTTTGCCATGGAAACAGAAATCCAAAGCAAACCAAATATCATTGGTTTAAGTTTGCCTACCTATGCACGAAGTTTCATGAAAATCCATGACTATGCATACCAAATAAAGTACTTACAGAGAATATATCATGTTTTTATTTGATTGTGCGGGAGTGAAAAATAAAATGCTTGAGGAGTGGGTCTCAATGAAAACCTATAAGTGCATAACTTGCAAAATAACAACAATGGATACACCAGAAAGACTGATGACTACTTCAAGGGTTTAAAATCTTTAATTACACAGAGTTTTAGAAAAAAAAAAATTAAAGAGCCAAGAGAGGGATGGTTTAATAAAAACAGTTTTGATGGTTTTCCACCTGTTCTATCTGTCGTAATACATCTTTTGAGAACATTTAACATTTCTTTTCAAATAACCTCTATCAAATTACAGAGTTATGACCCCCAGGATGGGGCTAAAGATGTCATAAATTGAAATTATATCACACATTTTAAAGTCTTTTTGAACATTAAACAGGCAAATTCTTGCAAAAATCATAGGGAGTAGTTATTCATTTATTATAAAATATTTTCCCTGACTCAAGGTTTGGACATTTATTTGTTTTACTTTAAAAGTTCACATTTTACCAGATTAGACTGTTTGGGCAAAAATTGAGAAGGCCCATACATTAACATTGTATACCCGGGTACTGCTGATGCATTTAAGTCTAAAACAAAATCAATTCAAATCACCAGCCAATCTTTCTATTTGTAGATGATTATATAACTTTTTTCCTTTTTCAAAAGTTTATACGATGTAAAACAAAAAAAAAACAAACAAAAAAAAAAAAAAAAAAAAAAAAACAACAAACAAACAAACAAACAAACAAAAAAAAAACAGTAAGCTTTTTCAACTTCTGTGGAATCATTTTAATTCGTGGAGGTTAGATTTTTACGGGCAATCAAAATTTTTATCCGTTCGTGGGGACTAAATTTCGTGGTAATTGGTGTAGATACACAGAAGATTCAATGGACCTAAAGCTGAAAAGAGTATTTGTTCCAGGGCATGTAAATTCATGGATAAGAGTTATCCACGAACATAGCCCCCATCCCCCCCCCCCCCAACACGAAATGATGATTCCACAGTAAATGGTTTCATCTGCGCTAGATTTGGACATGTTTAAATTCTTTTGTTAGAAGATATTTAAATATTTCTTTATAACACGATTGGACTTTATAGAAAATGTTGATCTAGTCCAATTCAATTACCAAACAAAGGATGACCATCGTACCTTCCAGCAGATTGTGTCGAATTTTTCCTTTACAGAGCATACAATCAGTTCCATATCCATTTATACCGTCAACATCTCTGTGTTCTAACATAAGTCGTGTGATAATTGTGCAGTATTGATAAAGTAGATAAAAGACTTTAAATGTCTCAACAAATTAAAGAACAGACAAGTATTGTGAATTTTAAATTTTTTGGCCTTTATTGATGTTCACGGACCATGCATAATCAGTGATGAGTGAAGTTCCTTTCACTTAAACCATTTACATGTAGGTTTCGACGACAAAAAGTTCACGAAAAACATACCACGTAAACTCTAAGCGAGGTTTTATGTACGGAACGCGGACATTCGTTCTTGTTTGTGTGGGATGGATGTAAAAACCCAATTCTAAAGGATCGATGGTACCCATAAAGTAACTGAAATCATCAGAATTTAGAGCTCTCTTTAAGGTCTGAGTGCAGGAAAGAAATCGCCAGACATGTCTGATTTTAAGAAAAAACCCAGTAGAACAAATATAGATCCTTCAACGAATAGAAGAAATCCACCGACAAGTAGAAGAGATCAGCCGACGAACAGAAGAGATCCACCAACGAATAAGAGAGATCCAACAATGACTAAGAAAGAAAAAACAGGAAGAGACGGTAAAAGATCGGTGAGTCTTCCGCCTCTGAAAACAGAAAGAAGTACCAGGAAGGCAAATCGTGTTCCCGAATGGAATAAGCGGCCTTGGAGCTTAGAACCATCTAGGGATATCTATAAAACGGAACAGTCAAGAAGTACTCGAGACAAAAAATCCAACTTTAAGCCACATACCACTTCCCAAAAGGATTTATGGTCTATTTACAATGCCAAACCTAGGTTCCCGACACCTTACCGCCCTGACAGCTCTTTGTCGATGAAGTCCAACTTCTCCCGCCCCAGTAGCAGAAGCTCAAGCATTCAGAAATGGCATAAAGATACTGAAGCTGCTTACGATACAGTAAGCCAGAGGAGTCTGCGCTTTGATAAACATGTCAAAAAACTTGCTTCCGTTACAACTAAATTCGACAGAGATGCCGAGAGAGCCAGGAAAGAAAGAGAACGTAAAAATAAAGAAGAAAGAGAAAGGGTTTTGAAAAATTTAAAGGAAAGGAGAAGGGATTTTGCGGAAAGGAATTATAAACGTGTTCACCAACAGTTTGTTTCACCAAAAGTATTAGAACATGAAAGAGATGAAAGAAACACTTATGGCCTTCCAAAATATTTACTGTTTGATGTGAAGTATCCCAAATCCAAATCGAAACAAGACGATTCAAAATCTCAATCTCCAAGACTTCAAAAGCATTCACAACTTCCTGCCAGTACAAAGTTTGCTCTAAAAACGGACAAGAAAACTCAACAACAGAAAAACAGTTCAACCAATAAGTCAGGCGATTTTCGTTCTGCAAGTCGACAGAGAGATTACCAGGAACTGTATAAGATTTATTGCATCCCAGGAAATAGCAGACTCCGGGACTGGGCCAAAGAGGAAAATGCTGCTCTTGCAATAGGTAAATTATATATATTATGTTATAAATTATATTATAAATTTATATATATATATATATATATATATATATATATATATATATATATATATATATATATATATATATATATATATATATATATATATATATATTAAAGTCCTGTTCTTATATAAATTATTCGCAATGACTTGGTTTGCAAAGATATCTTACTTCCGAAATTCCTTCATGAAAATAACGTTTTTTGATCTATAGGGTAAACTCTTCAATAAATCATAAACTATTTACGTTTTAATTTAACACTGAAAATCTAGGAAAGGGGTTTCTACATCCAGTTCATACATATAAGAATAGAAAAAAGTGGAATAAAAACTTCAGATTTTTGCTTTCTTATCTTACATTTTATCTTCAATTTGCTGTCGGTCATAGTTACTGATTTTTCTTTTAATTTTCTGCGATATACTTTAGGATTAAGAACGTCATTCAAGGACAAAATGTTTATACGGCAAAATAAATACAGATAGATGAAATGTAAATAAACTGAAATTAAATGTCGAATAACGAACTCTGGGACTGCGTTAAATATGGTGATAAATAGTTTTTCGACTAATCTTGTTTGCTTTATGAAAAGAATTTAAATGAAAGTATGAAACTCTGGCAGGTTAACAAAATAAAAGATGAACAATCCAAGATATTCATAAATACGAACCGTTATTAATGTTTAAGCAATATTTTTTGCTTTGCGTCAGGCAAAAGTTACAATCAACAGATAAAATTAGATATGATGATATAAAAGAAATCAGATGTATTCTAACGATGCCAATATGCTGTGTTGGCAAACACAACTATACTGAAACGCAAAAGAAACGCAACAAGCAGTGATCTACAAATATTTGAATTTTTTATCTAATGATTTTCAAAAATGAATTCAGTAATGTTAAAATAGATTTAAAAACATCAGAGATTTGATAAAAATGTTAAATGATTATCTTTTAACTTTAGAAAGTAACTCATGACTGTTAAAACACCCCCACCCCGGCCATTCAATAACAGCGTGCAAGACTGCCATGCACAACAATTGCAGCTTGATTTCTACGATGCAATAGGTTCATCAGTCTCGAGATCTGAGCGAAAGAAACATTCTTTGCCATTTTTAAATGCCTGTATTTAAGATGACGAGGTCGAATTTCCTCTAGCCTAGCGCAGTGTAGTAACCCTTGGACTTCCGGTCCCAGGACTGTCATTTATGCTAATGATACGTAAGAGCCTCTTGAGGCGTGATGTATTGCATATTTGCATATGCAATTCTCCATCACCTTTATTTTGAGATTTTCCAGCTAGAGCAATGGAAATGCGTACTTAAGTCATTTTCAGGAAGCCTTGGCATAGCTTACGGAAAAGAAAGGATAATTTATTTTTCGGAATATTGCTGCATTACTTATGATGAACAGATAAAAACCATTAAAAGCCCATATTCTTGCCAAATGTTTTGTTAAACATGCAATTTTTGATTTCTGTTAAGCGGACTCAAACTTAACTTCCGGTAATGGTATGAAAATCATTCAACCGTTAAATTACCGATATTTACAAAGATGAAGATATCCTTAATTTTTAGATACAAAATTATATCCTATATATAATATTTCCCCCTAAAGTAGGATGTTCAGTATATTAATATTTTTGAATTCCAACAATTTTATCATCATTCAGAAGTATAGAACAATTGCAGCAACATAGGTTTGTGATTGAAATAAAAAAAAGCTCAACGTTCAATATTCCAACAGTATTTAGAAGTAAAACATTAAAACAAAAACTGCTTTTTGAAGAAAATAATTGACTTCGCTACTTTCTCGTCAATTATTGTAAAAGCCAGTGAACTATGTGCACTGGGAAAAAAGTTATGTGATGCGATTCATGTTTTGCAAAGATAAGTTTTAAGTACATATAATTCAAAGGGAGACCGTGATTGAAGAACCAGTTGTCAGAAGCTCTCTACATCTGCACACGAAAATATTTAAAGCATGAAATTATTTTTCCATCCATTTTTCAGCCTTCAATAGACGCCCGCGACACACAGAAAAACCTAGATCAAGCACTCTGCCATCACTGAGGATGAATATTTACAAGTCCCCGTATGTTAACAACAGCAAACCACAGAGACTGGTGCCAGTTCATTGAAGAAGACGGCAAAATAGTCTCTCGCAAACCAGAGAAAAACAGCAAAATAGTCTTTCGCAAACCAAAGGTTCAAAAGGAGGACCTATGAACTGATTTGTAGAACTGAAGAGTTTTCTTTAGTAATAATGATTTGAGCAAGAGAATGTCTATGCCGCCCATATAAGCCAGTCAAGGAGAATGCTTAATTTTTTTTCTGATCTTATTATTGTTTATTAATTATGTAGATAAATAGGTAGATGAAATTAATTAACACTAGATATAGAGCACATTTTTCAGATGATAGACTTCATATATTATTCAATGTTAATGGGAAAAAAGTTTTCTTCTTTCGGAACTTCAAAATATACCTTATGTGGTAACATTATTCATTTATTTACCGATTTCGAAGGCAACTTGCGTTTTGTCGGACCAGAGAACCAACCGAAAGTCGTTAGGTTTTGTTATACCTTTTATTTTTTATTATGGCATATTCAATTGCAATAAATAAAACACAATTTATTTCCATTTTTATTGACAAGTGAAAAAATTAGTCAGATATATAAATGCTTAAAGAAAACTTAGTTTGTGTATTTGTTAAAGGTGTAGCGTGAAACCTTATAATGTAATTATAAATAGCAGAGGCGGCTGAATTCCCCCAGTTAACTTTCTGAGGACCTGGCAGGTTCAAAATATACAAATATATGATTAAGCAATATATACAGATAAATGTTTAGACTACTTGTCTTTAATCAATTAGGTACAATAAATCAAAGTGACGCTGACTCCTAAGCGATCGGCTCTTACAGCTCGGCTCTTCTGGTTACTAGCTCTTACAGCACGGCTCTTATGGTTACTGGCTCTTACAGCTCAGCTCTTATGATAACCGGCTCTTACAACTCGGCTCTTACTGGCTCCCTCGGTAGCTTTCTTGGTAATAAATAATATTTAAAGCCAGGAAAGACTTGTTCAGTCACGTCTAACGCTTTAAATATTTATTTATTATCATTAACTAAAAGTTACCTCTGATCATTAATGGTCCGCCGCTTGTGTTGCCACTTCAGCATCAACTTCGCAATTAACACAGCTCTGCCGCTTCACTTGTATTTATACCCTTGGCCAACAACGCCATCTAGCGGAAACATGACTAAAATACCGCTTGTATCGGAATAACTTTTCCCGGATTGTCTCAAAGGCAATGATACATTGGTTAAGTTGCACGAATTTAAGTCTTGTTTTTTGAGCAATCGAAGACTCGAGGTTTGTCGGCAGCATTGGAATTTCTAACAAATCAAGGTCACTTACTAAACACAGATTAGGCCGAGGTTGCCTACTCAGTGAGGGTTTTTCGTGGTGACGGTCAATGTCTGAGGAATAAGCATTGGACATGCCGTGGATCTTATTTTCACCGAGTTGTGAAGAATAATGCCCTAGTGGAATGATTAGATAAACAAAAGATAAGTTGGTATCTTTAATTATTGTAGCCATCACATAGTCCTCACAACCTTGGTGTCGTATCAAACTTCGGCTTGATCCGCCACATTTTTAGCTCACTTAGGTGGGGCACAGGATGGGGTCGAAATTTTACATAGGAATATATAGGAAATGTCTTGAAAGATCTTCTTCGCGAGAACAGCAAAGCCATGATTGGTCATATTACGTATAATATAAGTATTCTCAGGTAGTGTAGAATCAAGTTTGTTCCAATCCCCAGGGGGTCAAAGTTTACCATAGGAATATATAGGAAATATCTTTCAAAATCTTCTCAGGAACAGCTAAGCCATTATTAGTCATATTAATACAGAAGTATCCTCAGGTAGTGTAGATTCAAGTTTGTTAAAATCATGATTCCCGGGGGTAGGGCGGGGCCAAAACAGTGGGTCAATGTTTTACATAGGAATGTATACAAATGTAGGTGTAATGGTTAAGGGGCATTTGGGTAAAATGCATTGAAGACTTCAAATAGTGGAATGACCTGACAACCCTTGGAATGGACTAGCCAAACAAAAGGGTTTATAAGGCAAAGCTTTGGGAAATTCAGGCATTCAGAAGCTAGCTGAAGATGTTGAATGTTGAATCAGCAATAAAGAAGTTAAGGGTAGGAGCAAAATAAAAGTATAAAAGTTGTAAATACCAGTGGCAAGTATCCTAAGGAATTGATGTTCAGTTCTGGGTGTAGTAAATCTGAAGATTGAGACACCTGGTTCTTATCTATCAAAGTGAACCTAGGGGAGAAACACGGTGTAAGTAGTACCTTACCCAATCCCTGTCTCTAGATAAGAGAAAATTTAAGTACTGTGTGATTTACCCTCAGACAGAGGTGTCTTTTAAAATAATCATTCCAACCATTAACTCAGACAGAGTAAAAGGAAAACCTATACATCCCCTGTAAGAACCTGACCATACACGTTACATAGGAAATATCTTTAAAATTTTCTCAAGAATAACGAAGTCATTATTAGTCATATCTATACAGAAGCAACCTTAGGTATTGTAGAATCAAGTTTGTTCAAATTATAACCCCCCAGGGTGGGGGGGGGGCACAACAGAGGGTCAAATTTTTGCATAAGAATATATAGCAATCATCTTGAAAAAATCTTCTGCTCAAGAACAGCAAAGCAATGATTGGTCATATTTTTATAGAAGCATCCTCAGGCAGTATAGATTCATATTTGTTCAAATTTAGGTTGGGTAGGGAGGGGCCACAATGAGAGATCAGATCTACAGTTTTACATAGGAAAACATATGGGGAAAATCTTGTAAATTCTGTTTAAGAACTGCAAAGCCATGATTAGTAATATTGATATGGAAGTGCCTGAGGTAGTGTACAGAAAAGTTTCCCTCCCCCCCCCCCCGTTCAATACAGAACTGATTTCTGTTTCATCCTAGCCAACTAATGTGCTCAAGTGAGCGATATGGCCCATGGGTCTCTTGTTGTTGATTTTTTTTCGATTTCTGGCAGAGGATTCAGTCTCAAAACTACTGACGGGACATGCTGGATTATCTTTAATGAAATAGTCCTATAAACGTCTTTTTTCTTGCTAAAGAAAATAAGCATGTGTTTATAGCAGCCATCAGTGGCCCGTTTTACAAAACAATTTACAACTAAGACCAAAAACTTTTGTTGATTGTATTTTGCAAAAGTAACGTTTCTCGACTTTCTGTCTGTTAAAAATTGCTCGCATAAAAATATCTTTCTAAATTCACTTTTGAAAGAATATTAAAACTTTTTTTTATATCAATGCCAAAATGAGAGGTATTCGCAAGATAACATTTTGATACTAGTCTTAAGTTCTTTTGTAAAACGGGGTCCAGAGGAGTATATAGTCACAGATACCATTACTTGTATAAATAAGTTGCAAATAAAGCCTTAGATAAAACAATTCTACTCCATCTCTATATATGAATACACAAGTTGAGTATCTATATAAATTGAAGGTGTTGGATTTTTTTAATTTAGGGCTCTATATGCAACTTAATATTATTGATAAAAACTCACGTGCCTCTGATACATGTATAGTTTTAAACCAAGTAAATAGAAACTAACCGGGGTTTTTTGTATTTTCTAGGTGCCGTATTTTCATTGTCTTTGTTTCTTGCTGTCCACTCTCTATATCTCATTCACAAATGTTGCTGAGATTACCTGGGCTTAAGTAAGGACTTAAGCCCGTCTTGTTTATGTGACTTTACAATGTCATGAACAGCTCTTTTCAATGTATATACTATTGGAAATGGATCTATACATAGGAAAAAATCCTCACTTGATTATGCCAGAATACTTAGCTTGTTGGAGTTCAATTTCTACCACACATGATCAAGTCACTTTTCGACATGACTAACTTTTGACACCCTGACTACAAATCGACATTAACAGTGCATCTTTCTTCTCTCTGAATCTTTCTGGGCATTTAAAAACAAGTACTCTGGATGCATTTTATTTTTCTGTAGCCCATTTAAACATTCCCTAGGTCTATACCAGTTTCTGTAGGTGCAAAACTTTATAGAATGTTGGAAAAAGAAACCCCTCCCCCTTTTTGACGTCATTTTCAAGCGTTTAATTAATTCTTTGGACACTTCATATAAAATTTACGATAAAATTTTATGGGACGTACAGAATGGAGTAAAAATTGCATATTTTACGGAACAATTGTGTCGTACCACATTTCTGAATTAACTGGATTTTTTTATGACAAATGCTCATATCAAAAGAGTTTTTCTCAGTTACACTTAGGTAGAAAAAACGTCATATTTGAGGTTGCGCCGCCTAGACATACCATTGCTTACAAAAACATTAACAATTTATTAAAAAATAAAACTTATGATTTATTATTTATTCTATAGATAGAAAAGATGATGCTAACTAAATGTAATAAAATTCATTGATGTACCTAAAGCGCTTTTATTTTTATGGCGCTAGTCCACGAGCTTTTTGATAACCCATCATATAAACCATTTAGCACACAATATTTCCTTTTGTATATTAGTAAATAGACATGCCCCTGCCCCTGACTAGGTACAAATATTCTAACAGGAGTATTTTTTGCATGAAAGATGAAAAAAACATATTCTTGTTGGTCTTTTATAAAATTAAGTCAATAATCAAAGTTTCATATTTTTTCTTCTAAGAACCTTAGCCTTGTTGAAAAAAGCTTGAATTAAGATCATGTCTATTTGCCATGAGTATTTTTTACTACACTTTTACGGTTTCTCTGTTAAAAATTACTATAACTATATTGTAACCCATACACGAATTAATACAATTTTTTGCACTTGACCTTGTATAGGTCAAAAGCAACTTTTCCCCCTGTATTTTTATATTCATATAAACCATTCATCTGCTTGCTGTCAGTCATAAAGAAAATTGTCAAAGATAAGCATCTTTCAACTAAATTCAGGTTCTGAAATCTGAAATTTGAAATGAATTGCATATGTTTAGTAAAGCTGTAAATGCTCCATTTAATTAAGGAAACAGCTCCAGTTTCTCCATTTTTTGTGTTTATAGAACTTTGTCATAGCAAAGTTTGGAATTAAGAGTTCTCTCTCTTTCAGTCTGACTAAAGCCAGCCCCTACTATTTCACTTCGTTCGTCCTACGAACGAAGT